TGCTCCTCACCTTCCACACTGAACTGCTCCTCACCTTCCACACTGAACTGCTCCTCACCTTCCACATCCAACTGCTCCTCACCTTCCACATCCTGAACTGCTCCTCACCTTCCACACTGAACTGCTCCTCACCTTCCACACTCGAACTGCTCCTCACCTTCCACCAACTCCAACTGCTCCTCACCTTCCACCACTCCAACTGCTCCTCACCTTCCACATCCAACTGCTCCTCACCTTCCACACTCCTGAACTGCTCCTCACCTTCCACACTCCAACTGCTCCTCACCTTCCACATCCAACTGCTCCTCACCTTCCACATCCAACTGCTCCTCACCTTCCACATGGGATCATTCCCCACCCTCCACACGGGATCATTCCCCACCTCCCACACCACACCCTTCCTCACCTTCCACCCAGGACCATTCCCCACCTTCCACATGGGATCATTCCCCACCTCCCACCCAGGATCATTCCCACCTTCCACACCCAACTGTTCCTCGTCTTCCACACCAGACCCTTTCCCACCTTCCACATGGGATCATTCCCCACTTTCCCACCAAGTCCAGTTGGGATCAGCCTGGGACCCTGGGATGTGTCCCTGCCCATGGAATCAGATGATTTGAAGGTCCCTTCCCCCCCCCACAAATCCCTTGCAGAATTCCAGGAGCCACAGCCAGGACCAATCCCTGGAACCCCCAACTCCCATCCCACAAATCCCCCTCCCCAGGGATCTGTCGGAGAGCGGTGGGAGATTCCCCCTTCCCTCCTGACCCCTTTTCCTCTGGAACAACAACAACGATCCCAGGAATCCTGGGCTCAACTCAACTTATCCCAAACCCCAATTTCCACTCTCGTGCTCAGAGAGGTCCAAAAATTCCCATCCCAACCCCCTAAAGCAGCCGGGAAATGAAGGCGTTTTCCATCCAGGAGGGAGAGAATTCCCACTGGGATACGAGGGCAGCCCCTGGAAAGGCTCTGGAAAAATGGCCTCGGGTCATCCCGAAGGAGGTTTGGGTGGATATTGGGATAATTCCCACGGGTGTTTTAGGTGGATATTGGGATAATTCCCACGGGAGGTTTAGGTGGATATTGGGATAATTCCCACGGGAGGTGCAGGTGGATATTGGGATAATTCCCACGGGAGGTTCGGGTGGATATTGGGATAATTCCCACGGGAGGTTTAGGTGGATATTGGGATAATTCCCACGGGAGGTTTAGGTGGATATTGGGATAATTCCCACGGGAGGTTTAGGTGGATATTGGGATAATTCCCACGGGAGGTTTAGGTGAATATTGGGATAATTCCCAAGGGAGGTTTGGGTGGATATTGGGATAATTCCCACGGGAGGTTTTAGGTGGATATTGGGATAATTCCCAAGGGAAGTTTAGGTGGATATTGGGATAATTCCCAAGGGAGGTTTGGGTGGATATTGGGATAATTCCCACGGGAGGTTTGGGTGGATATTGGGGGAATCCCTCCTGGAAAAGGCTTGGTGGGATCAAGACCCCTGGAAGGGATTTAATATCCCTGTGGATATTGGGAGAACAGTGGGAATGGCCGGACCTGCTGACGTCAGAGACTTTTCCAACCCCCCAATTCCAGCATTCCAAGAGAATGGAGCATTCCAAGCATTCCAAGAGAAGGAAAACCCCCCCAGGGGGTGAGGAGGGCTGGGAAAATCCAGAGGGTTTTGGAGAAAGGAGAAGCAGCTCCAGATCAAATTCCCACATTCCTCAAATAATTCCCCACATTCCTCAAATTCCCCACATTCCTCAAATAATTCCCCACATTCCTCAAATTTCCCACATTCCTCAAATTTCCCCACATTCCTCAAATAATTCCCCACATTCCTCAAATTCCCCACATTCCCCACATTCCTCAAATAATTCCCACATTCCTCAAATAATTCCCCACATTCCTCAAATAATTCCCCACATTCCTCAAATTTCCCACATTCCCAGGGGTGTCCCAGGCCAGGTTGGATCCCCCTGGGATGGTTGGGAAGTGTTTGGAGTTGGAATTCCAGGATCTTTGCTGTCCCTTCCCACCCAAAGCATTCCAGGATTCCGTAACCTGTGTGATTCCATCACCTCATTCCATTAATTAACAAACCCCTACACTCCCTCAAAACCACTCCAGGGGAATTTGGGACAGAATTCCCTCCTGGAAGCCTCAACCCCCTCTGGATTTGGAGCCCTGGATGATGAAAGATCCTGGAATTCCAGCCCTGCCACGGGCAGGGAAACCTCCCACCATCCCATGGGTTATTCCACAACCTGGACACTCCCAGGGATCCAGGGGCAGCCAGAGATTCCCTGGGAATTCCAGCCCAGCCTGGAATTCCATCCCAATATCCCACCTAACCCTGGGCAGCCATTCCCTGTGTGCTGTCCCTCCAGCCCTCATCCCAAATCCCTCTCCAGAATTCCTGGAGCCCCCCCAGGGAAGGAAAACGACCTTTAAAGGTCACTTCCAACCCCAACTGTTCCGAGATTCCATGAAAATAAGCAGGAAAAGCTGCTCAAGCCTTGAGTAACTGAGGGAAAACTGGGATAATCTGGGTTGGAAAGGATCCTAAAGCTCATCCAGTTCCAACCTCCCACCATCCCAGGGGGATCCAACCTGGCCTGGGATATTCCCAAGGATCCAGAGATTCTCTGGGAATTCCAGCCCAGCCCCTCCCCACCCTCCCAGCCTGGAATTCCATCCCAATATCCCACCTAACCCTGGGAATCCATTCCCTGTGTTCCATCCCTCCATCCCTCATCCAAATCCAGAATTCCTGGAGCCCCTTCAGGCCCTGCCAGGTTCTCCAAGGATCTCCCTGGATCCTTTCCCTTCTCCAGGGAACATTCCCAGCTCTCCCAGCCTGGCTCCAGGTCTGGATTCATTCCAACAGATCCACTGGCACGGGAAGACCCGAGGAGAGCAGGAAGGTTGAGGCAGAGCCACCAAAACCGGGATTATCCCACTTCCCACCCAGGCTTTGGATGATGAAAGATCCTGGAATTCCAGCCCTGCCACCATCCCAGTGGGTTATTCCACAACCTGGACACTCCCAGGGATCCAGAGATCCTTGGAAGCCTCCCAGGAAGCCGATCAATCAATCAATCAACCAATCAATCAATCAACCAGGATGAATCAATCCCAATTTTTCCGGGGGAAAACCAAAGAGGGGGGAGGGGGAAGGAGATGGAGGGGGGGGAGATTTGTGTTTGTGTGGGGGGAAAAAAAAAAACCCCAACCCCAAAAACCTCCAGGGGGAAGGAGGAGCTGACTCCAAACTTGGGGATTGGGTGGTGGGAGCAGCGGGAAAACCGGGATAACCGGGCCCGGCATCGGGAATTCCTGCAGGACCAGTCGGGGCAGGGAGGGAGGGGAGGGTTTAAAGAGGGGGTTTGGAAGCTTTTGAAGCTGCTGGAGGCGCTTCCTGGGAGGGAATTCGAGGCCCTGCCAACATTCCTGGTTGGGAAAGGGCACGGAAATCGGGGGTTTTTTTGGGATTTTATGAAGAGGATCCGTGGAATTTGAGGTTTTTATGATCACCCCATGAAAATCCCACTCCACATGGAATTATTCCCCATCCTAAAGCCCCCAAATCCTCATTCCTTCCCCCTTTTTCCCGAGGTTTTCCTGACTCCAGCACCCCCAAACCCAACGAAGATGGGAAAATCGGGAATTCCCTGAGCTGGATCAGCGAGTCCACCCCAAAAACATCATCCCAACCCCCCAAAAAAATCCCAAAATGCCTGAGAGGGTTTTCCAAAGGTTTTCCTCAACTGGGAGCCGGAATTCCACCCCTCTGGAGGAGGAAAAAAAGGAGGGAATTTTCCTCCCCTGGAGAAGAAAATTGGGAAAAACTCCCGTGGAAGGGGAGGAGCTGCACCCACCACCCACTGGGTTAAGAGAAACCACAAAACTGGGGGAATTTGGGGGGTTTTTTTGGGATAAAACCCCTGGAAGTTGTTGTTTTTTGTTGAGAGAAAAGCCTGGCAGATTTTGGGATGGGTTTGAAGCCACGTGGGGAGCATCAAAAACCTCCATCTCAACCCCCCCAGAGGGCAAAACCTCCCTCTGGAATCTGACCCTGCACCTGAAGCTGCTTCCCTTGGAATTCCTGCCAGGAAAAACACAGGGAAGGGAAGGGAGCCCTCAAAAAAGCAGGGAAACAGGCGGGAAGAGTGGGATTTTTAGAAAAATTTAGCTTTTCTGTGCCCAAACTCAGCTTTCTCTGCCCAAACCCAGCTTTTCCGTGCCCAAACTCAGCTTTCTCTGCCCAAACCCAGCTTTTCCGTGCCCAAACCCAGCTTTTCCGTGCCCAAACTCAGCTTTTCCGTGCCCAAACTCAGCTTTTCTGTCCCCAAACTCAGCTTTCCTGTCCCTAAACCCAGCTTTTCCGTGCCCAAACTCAGCTTTTCTGACCCTAAACTCAGCTTTTCTCTGCCCAAACTCAGCTTTTCAGTACCCAAATTCAGTTTTTCTGTTCCCAAACTCAGCTTTTCTTTGCCCAAACTCAGCTTTCCTGTCCCCAAACTCAGCTTTTCCATCCCTAATTTCAGCTTTTCTGTGCCCAAACCCAGTTTCCTGTCCCTAAACCCAGCTTTTCCAGCCTAATTTCAGTTTTTCTGTGCCCAAACTCAGCTTTTCCGTGCCTAATTTCAGCTTTTCTGTACCCAAACTCAGCTTTTCAGTGCCCAAATTCAATTTTCCATGCCTAATTTCAGTTTTTCTGTGCCCAAACTCAGCTTTTCCTGTCCCTAAACTCAGCTTTTCCCAGCCTAATTTCAGTTTTTCCGTCCCTAAACTCAGCTTTTCTCTGCCCAAACTCAGCTTTTCCAGTCTAATTTCAGCTTTTCTGTCCCTAAACTCAGCTTTTCCATCCCTAATTTCAGCTTATCCGTGCCCAAACTCAGTTTTTCAGTGCCCAAACTCAGCTTTCCTGTCCCTAAACTCAGGTTTTCCATGCCTAATTTCAGCTTTTCTCTGCCCAAACTCAGCTTTTCCGTGCCCAAACTCAACTTTTCTGTCCCCAAACTCATCTTTTCTGTACCCAAACTCAGCTTTTCCATCCCTAATTTCAGCTTTTCCGTGCCCAAACTCAGCCTTTCTGTGCCCAAATTCAGTTTCCTGTCCCTAATTCCAGCTTTTCCGTCCCTAATTTCAGCTTTTCTGTGCCCAAACTCAGCTTTTCTGTCCCTAAACTCAGCTTTTCAGTGCCCAAACTCAGCTTTTCCATGCCTAATTTCAGCTTTTCTGTCCCTAAACTCAGCATTCCTGTCCCTAAACTGTTTTTCTGTCCCTAAACTCAGCTTTTCTGTCCCTAAACTCAGCTTTTCCATCCCTAATTC